ATAGTTAATCATACATGGAAACAAAGTTTTATGGGGCCCCCAGGGATTTGGGGCCCTAGGCAACTGCCTAGTATTGCCTAATGGTAAATCCCCCCTGAGTACGCTACAGGCTTATACTGTAGATACAATTGCGCTGAACTACTGACTTCAGCTAAACTAAACTACTTTTATGAAAAGATAAAGGTGAGAGTGTAATAGGAAGTAACAATCTAAATAAAAGTATTTTGTCTTTGTCAGTCATTTCCTAGTCTCTTCTCACCACTTTTTTTTTCACCACATCCTGCTGTCATATATGACACCCACGACGAGTTTTGGTCCTGAGATCACTGGGGGAAAAAGGATGCATAAATAAGGATGCACATAGATATCTTTGGTTCTTTGTTTTTTGTCAGGTTTAAATGGTTCAGATCATTAGACAACTATTAAAATAACCAATTAACCCAATTACTTAGACAAAGGAGTTTAGTTTCTATGGCTACGTCCAGGCTGATTTGCTGCCAGTAATGTCCAATCAAGAAACCAACAGGACGGTGTATGGCCAAAAAGTGCCTTTTCAATGAGTAGTAGTCATTGACACACTGATAGTGGTGAGGTACAATATAACAACAGCTGCCCTTGAGCTGACTGTTAAAAACATGGCTGTCTGAACACCATTAGTAGACAATGTTGGTGATTTGTTTTGCCCAAGGACACAACGACTGATACAGACAAAGCTGGAGTTCAAACCGGAAATTCTCTGATTGCAAGACGAACTTATACATCCTATGCCGATGTTACTTTACCTTGGAAAAAGTAGAGCAAGAAAATCTTAAAAGCTCTATTTCTTTCTTTTTTAAAGCATATGAAATATTGTCTTTGGAACAACTATAACACTCATTTGGTAAAGTTGTTGTAGTTGTTTTTTTTTCTAACATAAAATAAACATATTTGCCTTCAATGCTTCCATACAAGTATTTTTATTAATTAAAAGCTTTTTACAGATGAAAAAAAAATCATTTTCTGTACAGGAAGGAGATATATGGGCAGTAAAGTAACATGCAAATTAAATGATAAAATAACAAAGGGGTAAAATACACCAGCCAAAAGCTCTCCTATAGAATAAAGTTTTCAATAGTTTAATAAGGATTTCCATGGAACCAGCTACATGGTTGGAGGTCACTCCAAGAGACCAGTCACTTTGGCTACAGGCTAAAGTGTCGGGTCTCCTCAGGTTTTATGAGTCTTTGAGACCTTTAGGAGAGAACGATGTGTGCTGAAGAATACAGTACATAGCCATTCAGTGATGTACTGTACTGAGGGGCCTGACTGCACAACGCCCTGATAGGGATGCTGTCTCTCCCCATGTTAGAGCCTTTAGAGCAGC